GTTCATCTCTGCACCATGACAACAACAACGACAAGACGGAGCACTGGATGTAGGGGCAGCCCGAGACGCCCAATGAGCAGCCAGATGGGGATGAGGTGCCGGAGTGGCTTTGTTTCTCTCTTCTTCTTCCTCGCTTCCTCGGCGAGGGCCGACTCATCGGCCGTCGGCTTGCTAGCACACTTGCCGCCGACAGAAGCAGTGGCAGGGCGGCCTGACATCGTCGGAGATGCATTGGCCACCCCTCCGACCTTGCTACCGGTGGTAGTTACTAGTGTGGTGGACCGGGCAACATGTTTTGTCTCCAACTTTATTTTTGGTGCGGGCAGCGGAAGGTTCTTGCCTAGTTGTTCCAGCCGGAGCAGCTGTCATTGGTGGTACGTGGGGGAGTCGGCTACGGGAAGTGTGGCGCCGCGTGGGCGGGAGAGTATCTTTAGGCGCCATGGGGCGACTTTTCAGCCGAGGAGCAAAAACATTACTCCTCTAACTGATTTACGAGTTTATGAGCTTATTATACTTGCTCTAAATGGGTGTATGATTGTGTGTGTGTGTGTCTATATATAGCACCTAGGAGCCTACTATGTAGATTACAAATTCTACTAATAGCAGGACACTACGTAGGTTAGAAGAAGGGTGACGCGTGGGGTGAGAAGCAAGGTGTTTCCTGCACGGGGCGGAATGGACGGCGGCGGCAAGGAGTTGGGACGGCCGGCGCCGAGCGGTGGTGGGGTTGCGGTTTGGACGTTGGTGGTCTCCAACCTCGCCTACCTCGTGTTTCTCCTCTGCCAGTACCACATAAACCGGCGACGCTGTGACAAAAGCTCTGTCACAAGAGGTAGACCAGATGCAAAGGGGGATGCTCTCTCGCCGGACGCTGTCATCAACCTCGAGTTGTGCGTGTTCCTTTCATAAAACAATACAATTGGTGATTATTAGTATTGCAGAACTAGAATTGATGTAACACGTCTGCTTTGCCTTGCGTGTCATTTGTGCAGCGGCGACCCTACCATGTACGAGGCGTTCTGGAGGGAGGCTGGGGAGCGGGCGGCGGCGGTGATCCCCGGGTGGTGGGGGATGAGCTACTTCTCCAACGCAGGGGGCCTCTGCTGGTACCTGGAGCCTGAGTTGGAGCGCGAGGTGCGCCGCGTCCACCGCCTCGTCGGCAACGCAATGGCCGACGGCTACCACCTCGTGGTCGGCACTGGCACCACCCAGCTCTTCCAGGCTGCCATGTACGCCCTAGCCCCCACCAGCACCGACCGGCCCGTCGGCGTCGTCTCTCCGGCGCCCTACTACTCGGTAAGAAAAGAATAGGTCGATCGAGCAAGAAAATACAGACAGTTAGATTATTATTTCGTGAGTCGTGGTCGTGGGTGATTGACATGCCCTGCTGGGTGTGATCTTGGACGACGTACGTGGTAGATGTACCCGTGCAGACGGACCTCCTGCTCTCGGGCTACTACCGGTGGGCGGGGGACGCCAACGCCTTCCACGGCGACCACGGCGGCGAGAACATCGAGCTGGTCGTCTCGCCCAACAACCCCGACGGCGCCATCCGCGAGGCCGTCCTAAGCTCCGACTCCGGCAAGGGCAAGGCGATCCACGACCTGGTGTATTACTGGCCTCAGTACACGCCCATCACCAGCCCCGCCGCGCACGACATCATGCTCTTCACCATGTCCAAGCTCAGCGGCCACGGCGGCACCAGGCTCGGGTGGGCGCTGGTCAAGGACAGCGATGTGGCCAAGAAGATGGTCTACTTCGTGTATGGGAGCACCATCGGCGTGTCCAAGGACTCGCAGCTCCGTGCCGCAAAGATCCTCGGCGTCGTCTCCGACGCCTACGAACCTGGCCCCGGGGACGGCACGCAGCTCCGCCTCTTCGACTTTGCGCGACGCCGGACGGGGGAGCGCTGGCGGGCCCTGCACGCCGCCGTGGCGGCAACGGGCACCTTCAGCCTCCCAGATGAGATCACGGGCTACTGCAACTTCACCAAGCAAACCGTGGCAGCGTACCCCGGTACGCTAGTAGCACTACATGCCAATATAATTCCGTCATTGCTCCAACTTGATCTGAATTCTCATGCATTCTCAGCCTTCGCGTGGCTGCGCTGTTACAAGGATGGCGTGGAGGACTGCGCCGAGTTCCTGCGCGGGCACGGCATCGTGGCGCGGGGCGGGGAGCAGTTCGGAGGAGACGCCAGGTGCGTCAGGGTCAACATGATGGACAGGGACGCTGTGTTCAACGTGCTCATACAGCGTCTCTCCTCCATAACATGAAATCTCGATCAATGAGGATGCACAAGCCACAACTATAATGCATCGCAAGGGGGCAGCGTCTCTGATTGATTGAGTTTTGCTACTCCCTTTCAAATACAAGACGCACAATAATAATGTCACTGTGAGATGTTATTTGCACGCAATAATAATGGTGTTGCATTGAGTATTTAATCGTCGCTCCTTCCCGAAATATTACTCATTAATGAATACTAGTAAAATGCTCGTGCGTTGCTACCGGCGACAATGAAGTGTGTGTGCGTGCATTTGTTGTCTTATTTTGTTGCTATGGGCAACAGTTCAAAGTCAATCTGTTCTGTTTTGTTCAAATGCGTTCTATTTTGTTCAAATGCACCGGGCACAATATTTATTCACATAGCTATAAATGTGAAAAAAATAAATTTGCTCCCTCCCTCTTGGCCACCACGTGCATCCGATCTCCTTAGCTACACCATCCTACAAAAACAACGGATGTGCACGTTGAGCATGGTTCCAAATACCACCGCGACGAACGGACCGTAACAAATTTCCTTATAGCTAACATCGACACTCTGACGACATTTGGCAAAAGGAAATATCTGGCAAGCCAACTATGTTTCTAGATCAAACCAACCCTCCTCAACAAATAGTGATATTAGGGCATCTCCAACGCCTACCCTTAACCCGTCCATAATCGTCCGGACCACGCGGTCCAGACATGTTTTGCTATCCAACACGGGCCTATATCGATCCACCGACCGTTTCGGACGCATTTTTTGCAACCCAAAAACAAACTAGGAGGAAGCTTTCCGGACATCTGGACCATTGTCATGCCCGCTTCTGAGTTCTGACAACCCTTTCTCACCCTAAAACCCTCCCTTGCCTGCGTGTGTTCCCACCCGAAACCAGTTGCCCGCGTTCATGTCGCTGTAGAGCGGCCGCTCCCCATTGACATCGGACCAGAGAGGACGTGACCTCTAGCTGGTGCCGACATTGAAGTGGCTCGCCGGCTCGAGGGCGCCGTCCGCACCCCGTCACCGGTGTCCGCGCCTATTCAATGCGGGAGACACGTTTACTGGACGGGACATGAATGGATATCTACCATGTCCGTTAATGCCCGTCCCTCCGTCTGCCACCAATAGTCACGCTCGCCGGCCGAGAAACTGACTCCGGTGCCCGTGCATTGACGCACTTGGACGCTTGGCTTCACCGGCATCCACTGTTTAAAGGAAGCCACACTCGGCGGGAACACGCCACAACCCACCCGCTCTACATCTTCCTCCCGTGCACCATGTCCGCCATGACAGCGAGCGGGAACGCTCTATGGGAGAGCATGTGGACGGAGATGAAGCATGAGGTGCCACCCTTGCAACCACTTGGCAGAGCCGTCATGCCAGGAGGATAGAGGTTGACATGCCGGCCAGCTCTCTTGACGTCTCTGAAGACGACCTAGACTAGCTCCGACAATGACTCCGCGCCGGATTCTGCGCCGGTGCATGCCGGCTTGATGATGGAGTAGGCGCAGGGGCACTTTAACGCCACCATGGCTGAGGAGCAGCCGACGCCCGTGCCCATGTCATTGTTCCGGCAGGCGCAGGAGGAGCAGTGGTACATACTTATCCTCCTCGAGCAGCACTGGCTGGCGGAGGGTGTTAGGAGCTAGGGTTCTGCCCGGTCTAGGCCGTAGGCTGTAGGGGAAGGAGGGAGGAGGGCGCGGGCTTGAGCGCGGCGGTCGGTGGCGTGGCGCCGTCCTGGCGCGTGTGGCATCGGCGAGGGAAGGAGGCGGCTAGGGTTTTAGGGTTCCGGCTCCTCTGGGAGTCGGGCAATAGAATTCTTCTTATTGCTTGAATCTCAAAATAGTCTTACAAGTTGTATATATAACCACGATGCGAAATAAAAAATAAGATAACTTGCGGGCTAAGATTGCCCGGTGGGCCTCCTGCGGCTGTAGGACCGGCCGGTCATAACATGTCTCCACGCCTACGCAAACAGCTCGTCCTCGAGCTGAAAGTCGGGGTAGTGCTGGCGGAACTCCTCGCGCTGCTACCAAGTAGCGTCCTCCTCTGGCAGTCCAGCCCACTGAATCAACACGTACCAAGAGCCGCGACGCAGCTGAGCCTTCAACGCCTTCTCCGGCTCAGGAAGTAGACGTCCGTCCGTGATTGGCGGTAGCGCTAGCGGAGCTGCGGGTGGCTCTCCGCGGAAGGGCTTAAGCAGCCCCACATGGAAGACATCATGGATCCGCGCGCCCGCTAGAACCTGAAGACGGTAAGTCACCTGCCCAATGCGTTCCAGGATAGCAAAGGGACCGGCATAGCGAGGACCCAGCTTCCTCTTCGCGCGAGGGTCCAAAGGACTGCGTAGAGCGATGAAGTAGACGCAGCCAGACCCAGTCACCCACCGCGAACTCCGCCTCGCGATGGTGGCCGTCATAGTAGTGTTTAGCCAACTGCTGAGCCTGAAGGAGGCATTGCCGGACTTCTGCCAACATCTCATCACGGGTCCTCAGAAGAGCACCGGCCGCCTCGGTCCGCGCCAAGGTCGGATCAACCGGAAGAATCAGCGGGGGTGGCCGGCCATAAACCACCTCAAAAGGCGTAGCATGGAGGGCGGAGTGATAAGAGGTGTTGTAGCAGTACTCCACCCACGAAAGCCAGTCCACCCATGCGCGAGGTTGATCACCTATAACACAACGCAAATATATGGCAATCACCTTGTTAACAATCTCGGACTGGCCGTCCGTCTGAGGGTGGAAGGCGGTGCTCAGGCGGAGCTTAACGCCCGACAGCCGGAAGAGGTCGCACCACACATGTCCCGTGAACACAGGGTCCCGATCACTGACGATCGTAGAAGGGAACCCGTGGAGACGGACAATGCCATCGAAGAAGGCCCGAGCGACCGACGCCGCGGTGTAGGGATGGCCGAGCGCGATGAAGTGAGCATATTTGGAGAAGCGGTCGACCACCGTGAGAATGACGGACTTGCCGCCCACCTTAGGGAGGCCCTCGATGAAGTCCATGGAGATGTCTGCCCAGACCTGGGACGGCACCTCCAAAGGCTGAAGCATGCCAGCCGGCCGTAGGGTCTCCGTTTTGTTGCACTGGCACGTCACACAAGACCGTACCCAGTCATGGAGCAGGGCACGATCACCTGGAATGTAGAAGTCAGCGCGGAGACAATGGAGTGTCTTCTGCACACCCTCATGGCCCGCCGAGTGGGCGAGACGCAGCACCTGATGACGAAGATCATCGTGCGCCGGAACGAAGACCCGGCGCCCATGGTGGAGCAGGCCGTCGGCGAGTCGCCACGGCTCCTCCAGGTGCCCCGCTAGCAGCTGCTGCTGAAGGAGGAGAGAGTCAGCCACAGTTGTGGTCGCCCGCCGGATGTTGGCGTAGAGAGCGAAGGAGGGCCCGGTGATGATGCAGAAGGTCGCCCCCTCAGCCGCACCGTCGTCCACATCGGCGTCACGCCGCGACAGGGCATCGGCGACGGTGTTAAGGCGACCGGGCCGGTACTCGACGGTGAAGTCAAACCCGAAGAGTTTACTGATCCACTGGTGCTGTGGCACGGTCGAGAGCCTCTGATCCAGCATGAATTTGAGGTTGTAATGGTCTGTGCGGATCCGGAAGGAGCGACCCCAAAGATAGGGCCGCCAATGTCGCACTGCCTGCACCAACCCAATGAGATCGTGTTCATAAGCCACCAGCTTAAGATGGCGGGCGGCAAAGGGCCGGCTGAAGAAGGCGAGGGGTCCATCGCCCTGATGAAGGACCGCACCAAACCCCGCACCGGAGGCGACGCAGTCGACGGTGAACGGAAGGTCGAAATACGGCATTTGCAGGACGGGACCCGTCGTGAGGGCCCCCTTGAGGGCCTCGAACGCTATAGTGGCCTCCTCATCCCAAGAAAAGGCGTCGCGATGGAGAAGGCGCGTGAGCAGGGCCACCCCCTCGGCCGAGATGACGTGGCCGAGGTAAGCGACAGAAGGCGTCCCGAACGAGCACTTCGAGCGCATAAGATGAAGATGATGCGCCCAAAGCTCGTTGAAGATGATGGCCACATGCTGGAGGTGCTCTGCCCAAGAAGCGTTGTAGATAAGAATGTCATCAGAGAAAACGAGCACAAACCGCCGTAATTAGGGTCGGAGGACATCGTTCATCAAGGCCTGAAAGGTCGCCGGGGCGTTGGAGAGGCCAAACGACATCACCAAAAACTCAAAGTGTCCGTGGTGAGTCCGAAACGCCGTCTTGGCGATGTCGTCCGGGTGCATGCGCACCTGATGATACCCCGACCAGAGATCCAGCTTGGTGAAGAAGCGCGCCCCGTGCAGCTCGTCGAGAAGCTCATCGACCACCGGGATAGGAAACTTGTCCTTCAGCGTGAGTGCATTAAGGGTGCGGTAGTCGATGCAGAAATGCCACGTGCTGTCCGACTTGCGAACGAGGAGGACCAGCGTCATGAACGACGATGTGGAGATATGGATGATGCCCGTGGCAAGCATGAGCGCACACTGTCGCTCCAACTCGTCCTTCTGCAGCTGAGGATACCGGTAGGGCCGTACGGCCACAGGAGCCGATCCCAGAAGGAGGTGAATACGGTGGTCATAGATCCGGGCCGGCGGAAGGCCCTGCGGCTCCTCAAAGAGATCACGGTGCTGCTGCAGGAGGTTGGCCAACAGTGGATGCGCGGCCTCGGTGGTGGCCGCCGCCAGCTGGAGCGGGGGTGTCGCCGGGGTGCCTCCAATGCCCTCCCAGTGGACGCGGCGACCGAGACGCCAGAAGGTCATCGTCAGGGCGTCGAACTCCCAAAGGATGGGACCGAGACTCCGCAAGAAGTCGTCGCCGAGGATGAAGTCGAAACAGCCCAAATCAATGTCGGCGCAGGTGATGGTGAAGTGCTCGTCGCCGATCGTGATAAGCACGTCACGGGCAAGCCCATGTCAGCGTACACGGTCGCCATTAGCGACGGTGACCCGCAGCTGCTCCCCGCCTGTCGGTTGTAACGCGAGGCGCTACATGGTGGCC